AGATTTGTTGCAGCTATATTATCTCAACCTTAGGATCATTCTGTTCGCAATGTTGCGCTGTACAACGCAGCCAACTGCGCAACCTTCAGAAATCATGAATTTAGGGAGAAAATTTAAAGGAAACATGCGAAAATGCCTTTTCTTTTACAGTCGTTTCTTACGTAAACATAAAAGGAATAATTCTGCTTTCAATCTTATTTTCAACGCCTAACTTTAGCCTATAAGATCAATACCATGGATCTCACTTAACCACTCTCGTATCCCGTAAATCTCCTAGTTTTTCTCTGCGTTTTCCCCGTTTTCCACCCTTAGTTGGTCCCAAAGAGAAAAATATACGCAGTTAACGCCGAAAGCTTAGAACTCAAATGGCTGCCAAGAATGTGAGAGTGTCAATCACGTTGAAACACGTTGAATCATGTCAATATTGTTTACAATTTCACTTTTATGTTACAAAAACGACTCTAGTTCCACCATTTGTTGAAGATATATGCAGAAAAGGAAAGGGGGCGAAGAAAATGATTGGAGGATGTTTGAAGCAAGTGTTTCATTTTTGCAACATTTTTTATTGACTACTGTTTGAAAACTTCCCACTGATTGGTTTTTGAATCAAGAACATTTCCTTGTTTCTTCTTCAGCTACCATAGCATATCAAAATTCACCATCACTTTTTGCAAAGGTCCACAGTTAAAATCACTATCAATTTTGTTTTCTTGTCTCTGGAGTATCGAACCTATGCTCTTACTACATCCATCAAATACTACGTTCGATCCGAGTACCCGATGATCCGTCACAATTTGAAACAATTCGAAAGTTGGAGATTTGGAGGAATATTCGAATGGTCAAATAAGTTCGGATCTTCGAATATCTGAAAATTTTGAATTTTGAATAATCGAACTGTTATTCAAAAGATCGCATAATTATTCGAATGGTCTAATATACGGCTATCAGTCATCGACGTAATAGTAAAGATACAGATGACAAAAGTGATGGTAATTTAAAATTTTGTAATCCGCTAAAAGTGTTGTGATTTTTGATGTTTTAAAATGAGAGGGAAGGAGCAAATTTTCCCTGGATCAGAATACTTTATAAAGTAATCAGTGGAAAATTTAGCAAGGAGTTCCAAACATTTTCTTCAACCTTCTTTCAGTTTTTTTCATTTTGCTTATTTCTCCCAAAGTAAGAAGTTGAAGACATCTTTTTACATGGAAAAGAATGAGTTTGCCAGCTTATGATTCAACGTGTTCGGAGACCATCACTTTATCACAAAATTTCGTGACTGATCAAATTCAGTTTTCTTGGGAATTGTCATAATTTACTAATTTCCGAGAGTTGCACAGTTGTCAGCATTCTTCCAGAGAACATTTCGATTAGAAGAAGTAACAGCAGAAAATTACGAATTTGGTTTGTCAGAGAGATTTGCAGAAGAAGTGAATTTTGAAAGAAAACGGAATAAGTGCGTCCTTTCAAATACTTTGCTGCATATTCAAAATTGTGGATTGGAATCGGCCACGAAAAGATCCCACACTAATTTCTTCTGCTCGTCAACAACCGTGTCAAACCCCGTTGTTCCCACTGGGACAGTGCCATCATGAATTCTACCTGCTGAAGTACGCGCCGCAGTTGACCATGAAGACATTCGCGGCTCCGAGACCGGACCACGTTTCGGCCGACCTCTCACGAGCTGGAGGACATCGCCTACACGAGATACTAGTGGAACATCTAACGTCTTACCTTCAAAGGGAAAGGATCCCCTACCAGTGGAAAATCTCCCGAACAATCCTTTTTTATAAGAAGGGCGATAGGGAGGGTCGTCGGAACTACCGTCCAATATGCCTGCTAAGCATGCTTTACGTCAAGGGCACTGGCCCAACCTCTGTCGAACAAGTGGATCCGATAGGGATTCAGCTGCGTGGATCACATCCAAACGGTTTCGAGGATTACCGAAGTGTGCTGAGAGAACCGCCTTTCTCTCATCCTCACCTTCGTTGACTATGAGAAAGCGAGAAAGGAGACCAGTTCAAGAAGAACGCCTTTTGCGAGGATCAGGGAGCAGTGGACCGCTTTCGGGCCCCTAAAGAAACCACAGACCAACTGACGGACCCATAGCTCCGAGCTCACCTCTTCGATTCTCCCGTTCTCCCTGCGCTCTGTTACGCAGCAGAGATGATCTGACACTGTGGCTATGTCGAAAGCACCCCGAATAACCCACGGAGCCTTGGAGCGACGTCTTCTGCAACCGACGCATTTAACATCACATCGGACTTCAGTTATGAGATCTATGTCTCATCGATCCAGCAATAAGGCAAAACATAGATGGGCTGGTCACATAATGAGAAGGACACACGACAGATAGACACTAAGAACTCTGGAATGGATTTCTCGCGAAACGTCCTCGAGGGAGACCATCGACCAGATGGACTGACGT